ATTAGATTTAAGGAATAGATTGACTTGCTTATTAGCAAGTTGTCCTTTTTATAGAAATATCTTGCAAATTATTTTGATTTATTTTATCTACCTTAGATTGTAGGTTTATTTTATTTTACAAAATTATTGCAAAAAGGCCTTTGGCCTTGGTCTATAAATAGGTGTTTTTTGTTGTAGCTGGGATATATTATTTTGAGTTGAATAAAATTTGAGAGCCTACCCTTGCGTGCGTGCAAACCCCATTTACCCTTGTAGCATACTTGTTTGATTAGTCACCAAACTCATGAAGTGTTTTTGCTATTAAGTATAGTGAGTAATCTGACTACTCTTGGTAATCGACTGCAAATGTAATCCATCTAACCTTTCCCTTTCGGATTGGACCATCTATATGATTGGATTCAAGTGGTTAGAGGCTCAAGAAGTCCATACGCGTGGATTGTCACGTATCATTTGGTATCAAAGCTGAGGCTTTAGATGTGATATATTTTACTTTTTGTCTTGTCTTTACTTTGATCATATTTCGAAAAAGCCAAAAATTCTATCTCCTTGTTCTTTTTCTTATGCATGCCTTTTTTTATCTATGATTCTTACATGAACTATTTGGGTTATGAAAATTACTTTAAAGTGTCCAAATTTTGTTTGTTTCATTCAACATTCAAAAAGCATTCCAACAAACAAAATTTCACTTTAAACTAAGACTTATAGCCAAAGTTATCAATTTTTCTTCAGATCTCATAATTTGAGAGAAACCTTCAAAGAGTAAAATCGAGAACATAACCTCAAAATTTCATATCCTTTTCCTTGTAACTTTAAATTGAGTGAAATTAGTGCATTCGAAAAGATCTTTTAGTTAACTTTTCAGAAATACCCAAATTGATAAATTTTATGGAGTAATCAAAAAGTAATTCTTATTTTAGTGCACACTATTTTCTAGAAAATCCTGCAGCAACCAAGAATCCACTGTGTTAATTTGATCAATCATATCTTACTGACCATTTGTTTGATAATAGTCAAATTAGATATCAAATTAAAGGTCTTTGAAAGAACTTTCCAGGCGTACTAAAATCACAGCTACCCAACGTCTAAAGTAGAAGTAATCGTTGTTGAAAGAAGTATCCAAGCAGAAAACTTTCTCTATTTGGATTTGGACAGATTTGGGCAAATCTTTTGGTCTATCAAATCCACCCCAAATCAAATAATTTTTGGCAATTGTCTTTTGTTTTATTCACTAACATTTCAATATTATTCATTAATCAATTTTCCAAGTAGGTGAACCCTAAGAAGGAGCTGGACCAACTGCCAGCCCCTATTTGTCTTACCCGAGAGCACCTTTTCTGCAGCCACATAACTTTTATTTTAATGCAGCCCCTCCAAACGACCTTTGAACCTCAGGGCAACCCACATAGGTATTGTACACTCGCTGTGCTACATGTTGTTGGGATTATGGAGCCAAAACAGAAAACCTATGTCCTAGGAAGAAAATGATTTTCAACACTATTACCAATTCTTACAAGGGGGGATATTATTATCTTATGAGGAGTACAATATTGTTTTCCTATAAGAATTAGGATATTTGGCCTCTTATAAATAGAGCCCTTATGTTAAGGTTTCATTTGTACAAAATCCAAATAAAAGAAACTTGAGTGATTGTGGACAGTGTTGAAAAGAATTCTGTATCCCGTGGATTTAGTGAGTGTTTTACATTATTTTACCTAAGTTGAGGGTGTTATAATACTTAGAAGCTGGGGGGCTTTTGTTAGGACCTCTAGGGGATATTTTTGGGGAGAGTTTTGTATTCCAATCCTTAAACAATTATTAGTAAATTACYCACATTTGAGTGGAAGACTGGACGTAGGCCTTAGTGGTGAACCAATATAATTTGCTATGTCGTTATTCTTGTGTTTTTACAGTTTTCTTCCTATTTGCATATTTTTTGTTGTGTTTGGATATTTCTATTGAAGGGGAAATTATACGGGACCATAAATTTCCTAACGCATGTTGCCTTTTGTTTCACCCCAATCCAAACCTTGTACACCACCACACTCTTATACCTAATATACCCCCTTTGCTGCAAACCTTCACTATTTTATTGGTAAAACTTTTTTGTGTTTTTTTGAAAAAATTGGATTTTGTACATTATTTAGAATTAATTTTTGTTTTGTCTTACTTTTCTTGCTTATGTTATTTCTCTTGTTTGCTTAACGTAAATTTGTATATTGTTGTTAGTTCTTTCTCGAAAGCATAGGCTTGAAGGATAGTATTCATCCTAAGTTTTATTTTCTTTGTTAGATAGCCACCAAGAGCATTGGGCTCAAGGTTTTGATTTCATCTTCGCGCATATCATTTGGTATCATTCATATCATTTGTATCATTTGGTATAAAATCATTGAGTATTGTTGGCATTCATCATTGGTATTGATTACCTTAGACCTTACTTGTTATTATCAAGTGTCGATTCGCCACGAGCAATCAAGTTTGCATCTCAAGGTAAGTGTACCCACACCACATCAAACCTTACCTTCAGAAAGAGAGAGAATCGAGATGGCTTCAAGTGAGAGAGTGAAGTGAGGAATTTTATCTTTTGTTTTACTAACTTTATTTTTGTAGCCATGGCAACAAAAGGAAAGTCCCAAGATTCGCACGAAGAAGGAGAAAACTCTCAAGTAAACGATGAGAGACTTAGAGAAACTCAATGCAAACATTTGCAAGATTCACACAAAGTCTTGAGAACATCACCAAATATTTAGAAATCTTGAACAATCGTGTTCGATGATTAGAGAGACCACAAAGAGTCCACAAAGAAGAAGACCCATGAATTCGAGAGAAGCATCCGAGGACTCCCAAGAAGAAGAGTTAGGTACCTTAGGAGACTATTATGCTAATAATGATGATTATGATGTAGGTCACCCAAGGACAGCGCACCATGGGAGAAAGAGATTGAGT